TTGTCCGTACGATGGCGACATCCTCGACGAGAATGGGAAAACTGATTTTCCCTCTTCGTCTTTCACTTCGTCTCATTTCCCGAATGCTCACCTCAGCGAATCTCATTGCTAGATTCAACGAGTGTCTCGTCCCACGGTTTTATTCCTTGATTTTCCTTTTTTTATCACCAACTCTATTTTTCCCCTTTCTCTCGTTTTTGCCAACTGAAATGTCCCCAAAGATCTCCTTTTGTCACAACTCCCCCGCACCCCATTCCTTCATTGGGGACCTTCTCATTTTCTCATCATTGTGACTGCCGCCCGTTTTGAATGGAGATGAAATCATCACATGAAAATGAATAGCTTCTCAACGCGAGTGGGAAAAGTGGATGGGGATAAAAAAAATTGGAACATTCGAGGCCATTTGAATGCCAATGGATGCTGAATTTTTCAACTATCGTTGATCCAATTTCAACAACTAGTTAACGAGACGGAGTGTTTTCCCCCGAGTTTTTCACACGATCAGTCAGATCTTTATATTTTTAATATATAATTATAGGAATAAAATATTCAATCCACTGGAGGCTCACCTACTTCATTTCTCCTATTCAAATCTTATTTACACTCCCTCGAGGACTCTTGCTCAATTGACCATGAAATGCCAATTTTTTTAAACAATGTCTTCAATCAATAACCAACTCCCATCCTAAGTACCTCACAACTGCTTCGTGTCACTCCTCGTTACTGTTTCGTAATTCTGTCATCGTCCTCGTTATTGTCACTTTCGCGCTTCTATGTAATTTCTAAAGAGCCATCTACTACATCCGCAAAAAAAATTATTGCAGTGACATTAACATTGAAGGTAGAATCTTTAAGTCGGAGCGAATATTTACTAATTCACTGAGACCCACGTTAATTGGGCTCTTCATTTGAAATTCCTCATTCATCCGGAAAAAATATAACACCCACAAAAGTTTGTAAAAATGAGTTGACTCCGGATTTTTAATTGAAATATCATTCATAATCTTGTGAATAAAAATGCGTTTCAGATGTAAGCGCATTACCGTGAGCATCGAGCTGCGAAAATACTGGGAGAATGGAGCAAAACAAAATTTAAATTCTGTCATCAACATTTTTCTTTCCGCACACTTTTTTTTCAAGCTCCTCTCTTTTTCCTGTCTCTCGCATTTTACCCTGTCCTATTCACATTACTTCATGTAAAAATGTTTTCAAATGGATATAGAGGATGAGAGTGACACCGAGAGAATGAATATGAAACGAAACTTCAGCTTTGAGGTGATAAAAATTTAACGGAGAGTTTAAGATTACGTGACGACTCCCGAATTGGAAGACGAAATTTCTATTTTTATTCGAGAATTAAAATAATCGATCGAGGGTGAGGTCGATATTTAATTCGATAGTGATTATTAAATTTTTTTTGTCGGACAGTTTTGACGAAATGTTCCATTCACTGTGAAAATATGGAATCACAACCCCTTGGTGTTACATATTCTCAAGTGCGCTTATGCAAACGTCGAAATTCACAGATTTAGGGAGGAGAAACCCCCCAGAATGGCACGTAGTCGTAATTCACGTTGTATCAAGCCAACCGGAAGGAGACCTGGGGTCGGATAAGACGGGATGATAAAAGGCGTAAAGGTGTCAGAGCACCTACAACGTGTGGTCCCTGAGAGGACACCTCTCACCCCTGGATTCGAGGGTAGTTACCCTCTATCCTCCTCACAACTAGACGTCAACGACCACCCGAAAGATAAAATTGTAAATGGAAAAAAGAGAAAACTGAGATTGCCAAAAAAAATTCTCAATCGTCAAACTGACAAAATTTCATTGGATTTAAAAATAAATGACCAACGTGACTCTTAGGTAAAGAGGGAATTTTTTTTTTCCTCTTTGCAGACTGGAAAAGGGACAATGACGTCGAGATCAAAGAACACTTTATAGCCCTTCTCTATTCTCGCTGACGTCTCAGATTATTTCGCGTTCGCCCCGAGAGAATAACAAAATCTTATCTCCAGTCTGAAGAAATTGTTAATAAAGAGAACTAATTAGGATTTTTTTTTCTCAAGGTAACAGTGGAATTTTACAATTACTTTCTCAAAGGGAAGAATTTTGCAGAATTTAAATATTCATCTATTGTTTGATATAATCATTTTATGTAAATGCAAAATCTCCAGAAAAATAGTTAAATCAAATATACCGTATATATTCGAGTAAAAAAAAATTGTAATCGGAATATTTTTTTCTTACCCGGGCATGAATATAATAGGAGTATTATAGAATATTATGTATGTAATGTGTAATATGCGGGATTATGCTTTATTTTGTGCTCACGTGGATGAGAATATTTTTTTCGTAAAAAATCGTCAAACCCAGGGGAGTCGAATTTTGTAGCAGGAGAATATAAGTCGAAAGTTTTTCATTCTTTAGCGCGTGATTCGCGAGTTCGTGACTGTGATACAAGCGTTACGCATCCAAGTAGAATGTGGCTTTTATCGAGACACACACTGTTGGCACGTACACGAGACCTCGTTGCTATTAAACTTTTATTTACACATCCTCCTTCCCCAACTTCATTTTTATCCCCAACATTTTTTTCACCATTCGATTTTATGCCACTGCGCGAAATCCCAGAGGTGAAGGATCGGTTAGAAGAAGAAGAACTCCGAACGTTCCAAATATGCAGATAAAAAATATTTATTATCATGATACACTAAAAAAAATTATTTCTTTTAAAAATTCAAGTCCCCCGTGTAAATTGAGTGGCATAAATTTCACATGCATCAATTTTTTTTACCCAAAGCCCAGAAAAATAGTAACAGGTGAATTTCTATCTACGATGACACGACTTGTTTCGCAATTTTTCCTCAATTTTTTTAAATACAAACGTACGCAAAGGGTAATGCCGTGCAATTAAAATCTGGAATACGTTGATAACAACGTAGGGTTGTTATCGTAACCACAAGAGAGGTATTTTCACGTATATTAAAATTCAACTCGGCAGTACATTAGCGACTGCAATTGAATCTCATCATGGAACACGTTGACCCGATGTGCGAAATTTCCACTCGTTGTTCTGCTTATGAGAACTAACACAGGTTAATACTGAGACCGGAATTGTAGTCAAAAGTCAGTATTTATTAAACCTTCATTTTTATTGTCATTTGCCTGCACCAGGGGTGAAAACCGCACGAATAATGAGAAAATTAGAATGTCTATGCGGTTGCTATTTCGCTTTGAATACAACCGATGAATACTCATAATTATTAATAACAACTGGGCCAAAAAAAAAGAGAAAAAATACCCAAACCGATAAACATTAACAACAAAAAATGTCAAACACTGAAATTAATGATTTCAATTTTACTCCTCTCCATTCTAAATGAGAATGATTTATTTATTTCGATTTAAATGAATAAATAAATATTTCTGCATGTACCCGGTGAATTCCCAAATTTCCCGTGTGCAAAAAAATGTATTCTTCTTCCGTAATGACGTGAAAAAAAATCTATTTCCGCTTCTGAGGCGGGGAATCGGCAATAGAATGGTTATGAGGAAAAAAAAATCTCGAATGGATAACGGATATCATCATTCATCCATTATTTAGGTCAGACCTGGGGAAAAAAACTACAACATCCACTGGGTAGACATTACGCGGGGCAATGAGTCCAGAAATCTTGACGAATTGATTTTCCAGTGGAGTCCACCGATGAAGGAGATTTCCTCTCCATTGGCAACGCTTTTACGGTATTATATCCGTCTGGAGGATGTCGATTTTGCCGTGAATGATTAATCGACTGGATTTCTCGTGCGATATTATAACGACCAGGAATTCGATATTATTTTTCATTCTGTCCAGCACGTGCGACAGATAAATGCTGATGCTATTAAGTTTTCATTGTTACAATGATAATCGCGCCCTGGAAGGCACAAAAATGCCGATGGAGACATCGGCTCGTGATTCGAGAGATGTTTATTGTAAATTGATTTTTCCATTTCAACTGGAGAGCACGATTCTATCGTGAAAACTCATGAATTGATATAACCATTTGGTGTATATATACCACTGGGCGTCAATTAATTTTCACTCATTCGTAATTTATGCTGGGTTAAGCCGATTTTGTGCTGATACTGTTAAAATCCAGTTGGAGTGTAGAATAATTTATTCAACATGTATCGAGTTCAGAAAATTTTCACTCTGTTTGTCATCCTGGGTCTCATTAATGTGAGTATTCATTTTTTATATTTATAACGAGATTTATTTGAATTAAATGAAAATTGTAATTAAATGTAATTGTAATTACAAGTTCTTTCAGTAAATTGGATTTGGACGTCACATTTTCGTTGGTTACAATACATTTTTAATGATTATTTCAGATAATCAACGCTGAACTTGCTGACTATATACCAAATTTATTCGAAAAAGAATCTCCGTTTCAACATCACATGAGTAGACTGTTAGAACTTCTTACAATGGCATCGAAAACTTTTCCTGAACACTTGGGAGAAGTAGCAAAGACTTCCACAAGCAAAGCAGCAGCAGCTGCAGAAGAGAGAATTATGAAAGAGATAGTAGATCTGCCAGTTAATTCTTTGAAGGCTATGGTCATCGGTTAAAATTCTCAGCTACATCCCCACGAAATCTATCATTCCGATAAAAAAAAAATTTTCCAATGTAAAAATAATAACTCAAAGAAAAAAATTGCTAGCACACAAATGATGTGTTAAATCGATAAACAATCTATGAAAAAGGAATTTTATGCAAATAAATGGGTATTTTTTGATGTAGTAATCGAGGTGTTGCACAATTGATTTGACAGTAATTTAAATTATTATTTCTGGTAGTAACCTGAGTAAAAAAAAATTGTAATCGGAATATTTTTATCCAAGTTTTCTAAAAATTTCGGGAAAACTTTTCAGAAATTTTTTTTTATGAAACAAAAAAAAAATCGAAAAACAAAACGACTTTATTTTTCGAAAAAGTTTTGAAAAATTATTCCGATTACAATTTTTTTTTACCCGGGAATGATTAATTAGTTTGATGGAAAGATTGGATGTTGGATATGGCGTTAAGTTTTGAGCACCTAGGGTTTTCAACGTGCAACAAAGTTGAGTGAAATATAAGGTGGTGCCTGCGGGGCAACTCTTCACCCTGGGCAACAGTTACGTACCAGAAGTTGTTGGTGTACGAAACATATAAATACATCCAAGATGCTGCGAAATAAACTTCACAACGTTCTCTTCATATGTATTGCTTGATGGTGGCAATGTTTTTTGAGACTCTCCAACAATTGCAGAACTACGCGAAGGTCTCCAAGATCGGTCGAGTGCCGGGGTAAATACTGTGGGATAAAGTTTTATGAGTGTTGAAATTTCTGTGACAGTTATTAAATCTCTGTTCCAGACTTCAAAATTTACTTTGTCTTTTGTCAGTTTGCCGACCGGATCTTTCTCCATGAAGTTCATCCGCATTTTTTTCACACTTCCGTTATGGTTTTGTCAGCAAAATAAAAAAAGGTGCATTAATCGGATAAACGCCGGGACTCGGAAAATTATATGGATAAAAATTTTTAACCGAAAAATCGGTAACGGACTGTCAATTCGATACGCGTCGCATAAATTTTGAAATAACAATTCGCTGTCCCCTATTTCCCACAAATTTAATCGAGACTAAATTCCACAACTGTCTACAAGGTAATGTTGTCATCCGGTTACAATATGACTTGCTGTCAGTGGAAAGTGATATGACAGTGGCAAAGTGTTGTTGCTGGCGTACTGAGAGTATTACCTCTCTAAGTAGTGCACACCAAACACATCCACATCTCTAGTTTAACAGGCCCTCCATTTCAGACACGAAATTCCACTGTTGGAAACTGTATGGGATCACAAAGCATCCCATACTTGTACCATTCGTTGGAAATATGTAGTGGCTGGCCTGTGTGCATTTGCCAGTCGCGCCACCACTCTGAATAATTTAATTGCACTGTTAGTCTTTTCCCTCCCGGGATCGTACATTTCCTCCGGGACCTGAAACAAAGGCATAAATGGATTAGACTGAGTTATTTCACTTATTCATCATTTGGTAGATTTTTCGGGGTGGAATCCAGAATTTACCAAGTAATTACGTTATTACCTGTTGCTTCTAGTCACTCATGAAGAAAAATTTATTGTTCAATTCACTTCCAATTAATTCTACCATATCAATATATCAATCTGGAAACAATTGTTCGATGGCGAAAATTTGTAATTTTTAATTGCATGCTTCTCATCTTTTTTGGATGTGAGATTAATCGTGTGATGATAATTTTCCAGAACATTTCCAGTGCAGACATGGGGCTTTTCATCCTGGTAATTCCCCAGAACATGATCATTCTCTCCGATCTATTGCACATTGTCCGTGCATTAGTTTGTTATAATAATCGTTGACGCTAATTCTCGTATCTGTCATGGAATAATGAGGAAATAATGTAGCGTGACGCGCCCATATAGCGCCATGAACTTCGTGTTGAGAGCACCGTGTAATGCGATATTACACTTAAATTACGTGTCGTACCATCTAAATCCATTAAAGGCTGTTTTTACTGCTATATATTTTTTGTTGAATATCTCAAACAATTATTCTTCATTAAAGATTCGTTTAGGGCTCTCATTTCAATTAATAACCGTCATTTTTCCTCTCGACGTTCGCGCTGGGATAACTCCCGGCAATTTTTTATTTCATTCATTCCTTTTAATAAGGATTGAATTATTTTCTCCTTCAAATATTCATAGGATTCACGGAAAATTGAAAGCTGTCGCTTTTTTAAATTGCGCGTTGAATCGACATTTTTCCCATTATCTCTCAATTGGATGCGAATTTTCCGGATGAAAATATTAAATAGAGATAAAATTCAAAAAAATACCAATATTCATATCGATATTATCAATGCTATGATGAAATTCAATCGTCGACACTGCGACACCTGTGACTTTTGCTCTCTTATCAACCCATTTTCATTCCTCCTTCCTCGACACTCTGTTTTTCTATTTTCCACGGGATATTTTCACTCGTTACATTCAGCTGCACTTCTTTCTCTCACGCCTCCGATACAATTTTCTCGCATTCAAATATTTCTCACCAAGTTTTTCATTTGAGACTTTCAAAAGGACTTTTTAAATCGTCCCCTAATGGCTATGAAAAAATCAGAGCACCCGCGAAGTTATTCAATCCTTTCACAACACTATATGAAAATTTTGAATTTCCGGGAAATTTATTTTCCTCCAAAAAGTGTAAAATAATAAAATTAATTTTAATCACCACATTGTCGAATCAATGAACTTTTCCTTCAATTGAAAAGGGATTTTTAAAATCTGACGTAGGGACAGTAAATGGGACCTTAGAGTGGCGATTTTTTCATCGACAATAAAATGAGTTTTCAATCGAATTTTGGGAACAAAGAGTCTGATGCAATATCAAAGCACTATGTATAATTGAATCCGATGAATCTAGGTGCCTCCCACTTTTCTTACCTGTGATCATGCGTGGAACGCATGGTGGCGTGCAATTGCCCGTGACAACCGAGAGTCACATCACTAATTAAACTAAAAATCAACTAAATTATGAATGATGCACCGGGATTGTTTGCCCGAAAACAACACGAGTATGAATTCCTTTGTCCCTGTTATCGAAAATTTTCATAACCCCATGGTTCACCGGCAAAAATAACTGAACGGACAATTGAGAGCAACTTTCTGATGCAACTTGCCGCCATACGGAATAATAAACCTGTGTTGCACCGATCGTTTCCTTGTTTACCAATCAGAATTAACGCTCCCACCTTCCCCGCATTTAAATTTCCACGCTCATACTTGACTATGTGTGGGTAAGGCAATACAGAGACTGGATCTCGAGACTTTGATCTCAATATTTATTTTAAAAAATGTCAATGAACGAGGGTTTGGGCAAAGGGATTGGATATAAATAGAGAAGTCAACCAACGAACTAACATCAGTCCCACCGCTAAACGGAACAGACTACAACAATCATCATGAAATCCATGGTAAATCATTTGATCGTTAACATTTTTTATAATTCAACAAACCGTTCGTCGGTTCTTCGCTCGTAATTAATCACTTACTGTCATTCCACCACAATAATTCGACATAATTGAGTCTCTTATTAATTACTTAATTACTTGTTTGATCAGAGAAATTGACAGATTGTATTAATCCGTGTTATTTTTTATTTTTTCTAAAATGTCGTTCCTTTTTATTTTTTTATTTATTTCTTCATTTTGGAATTTGTACTTTCTCTTTATTTCGTGTATCTCATTTCCTCAGGTTTGCCTTTTCGTCTTCGCCCTCGTGGCTGCTGCCCAGGCCTACCCAGGAGGTCTCACTGGCATTCCATGGGGAGGAGTCCCAATTTCTTCTGGTCTTGGATGGGGCGGAGTCGGAAGTGTCGGCATTGAATTGGGACCCAAAGTTCAGCCCATTTCTCCAATCGTAGCTCGTCCTGCTCAGCTCACCCAAACTGTTCTTACTCCCGCCAAATGTACGTATTACAATTTAAAAAAAAAACAAACTTAAATTTTAAGACGACGAAAATGGAAATTGCATTATTTGGATGAATTTAATCACATCAGTGAATTACTGAATTTTCAATGACAAGATATTTTCCAATTTGGGAGGGAAAATTCAGAAGACAATTTCTAACAACAATTACTGCTTGTATAATTTATATAATTGCAATATAATTATTTTTTTAGCGATTGTTGCCGCCCCAGTGTTGGTGTCTGGAAAATTGGGTGGATATTATTGAGTCATTATCTAGATTTTTGATAAGCCTCTGTTTTTTTCAATGCAAGTTTGGTACGAGTCACCGGTAATTTAAAATTGTTATACTGATGCTTTATTGAAATTTTGTTAAAATCCTTGTGGAAAATATATGTGACAACGCTACTTTTTCGTTCGTTTTTTTTTCCATTTCCATCCATTCTCCATTTTTTATATTCGTGTGTTCACACAATGAACCCCTTTGTGAGATCTTTCTGTTTGTGAATCTGTGAGAATATTCAATAAAATGAATAACACATATTCTGTATTGAATTTGCATTACTCTCATTGAAATTCGAATACAATACATTCATCAACACAGGATAAAGTGCGTACAATTCTGTTAATTAATGAGATAAAACAAGTTTATTTATTAAAAAAAAACTCATTGTTCTTCATGAATGAAAATATGGATTTTTGCTGCACAAATAATAATTATTCCTCTATATTTCGTGATTTTATAATATTTTTCACACGCGGTGATTTTTCCATTCAGTTGTTATTACTCGTATTAATTGCGGCATTAATTCAGTAATTAAAGATTTTTTTCGATCTCAGGATTGATTAAAAAAAATTATCAAAAGACCGACGCGAGTAATCATGAGATAATGTTATCAAATTTCACATGTGGTATTAAATTTGATTAAATTCCCAGTTCAACACTGCAAATATTGATTATCTTTTAAAAGTGGTGCACCATCACGTGAAAATTGCAAGCGAATAAATTGTACACCATTTCCTTCATCATTTCAAATCAATCGAAAAATCTCCTGAGGGCTTTAAAGAAAAATACGCAGAATATTGGTAAAAGTGTACACAGATACTATTTTTATTTAAAATCGTGAACTGTTACATTAGCCAATGAAACTCACCAGAACTTTTCCACCCTTTCCGATACCCATCGACAGAGAATTCACGAAAAACAAAAAAATTGCATTTCGTTATGACCCTCGAGGAAGACTGGAACTTCCTGGAGTTCATTTGCAATTATGTTGAAGGAAGTAGGGAAAAAAAAATTCGGAGAGAATAAGAAACTTTGAGGTAGATTACAGAACTTATCCTTCGATGGAGAACAGTCCACTCGATGGGATACGGTGATCGATCGTTCAAATACATGGAAACGCTTTGGAGAGTCATTGTAACTTAGCAAACGAGTGAGATAAGTGAGGTGATATTTAAATATCCACGATAAGTTCCATGATTTTCGGAGTATTTGCCAGGCAGTGTGTCCATAGACTCGAGGCAGTCGATAAAATATCCGAATGTATCGTCAGCCAGAGTCTAATTGTAAAATTTCTCATGACTCAAATAATGCCGATGGCCACGAGATGATTGAGCATTTAACCGTGGATAAGACCAGGAAGGATGAGGCCGTGTCCTCCAGTGTGAATAGCACCAGCAGGTCCAGCAACAATAGTTGCTCCTTCAAGAATAAAACAAAAATGAAGAACAAGAACAAGAGATAGTGAAAATATTGCGGATCAATTGATTTATCAGGATAATTCACCTGCTGCGGGTCCGACGATAGCAGCCGAAGGCCCAACTGGCCCGATCACAGCAGCAGCAGGAGCAGCGGGACCGACAACAGCTGCTGATCCTGCACTTGGACCCACAACAGCTACTGATCCAGATGCTGGTCCAACAACAGCCACTCCAGGAACACCAAGGCCCAAAATCCCAGCGTGGCCCAGCCCCAGGGGTGAAAGACCACCCAAAATTAGTGATCCAGGCAGTCCCAGGGACCGACGTTCTCGCTCTGGAGCAGCGGAGGCAGCAGCTGCCCAGATAGCAAGAACAATTACCTGAAAAATTGATAAGAGCCAAAATCAGTATTTTCGTTGTTCTTCCAATGATTTAAATGATAATAATGGTGGACAATCCGGTGAAATTAATTTAATGAAAAACTTTTTGATGATTTATTAATGGACGTTTGCGTTACCAAGAATTTCATGACGATTTCCGGCTTTGCAGTTGATCCACTGATTGTCACTGAAGTCTGACTGATGCTCAACCCTATCATCTTGGGAGTTTATATACTCAAAGTCTAGTGATGAAAGGAGAGGGTTTCAACCCTGAGCAAAAGTCACGGCTAATGTTGATGCAACGGGTGTGGCTACTGTTCCGGGACTCATACCGGTTTGAAATTATCCTCTCGAGTTTGATGTAATTATTTCTACTTTCGCATTTGGAGAATTCTTTTTGGAATTTCGAATGTAAAAATTGAAGAAAAAATCTATCAAAGAAATGAATGAACTGTTAAGAAATGATGAAAAATTGAATTGTTATGCCCTTGCGAGTGTCACTCTTTAATTATCTCCCAATTAATCAAATGATTTCAACACTTCAACAACAGTACTTGGACAACAGGCAATAGCAATTGGAAAATGTATCTACGTTTACAATCAACTCGACCGGTATCGCTCTAATGCATAGAGATAGCCTCGCTATTAGTTAATGAAACCTCTGCCGTTAAATGGAATGAATGGTGACAAAGTTCCGAACAATGGCCACATCCTAAATATTCGTAGATATAATACCAGTCTCTACCCCATAACAATGCACGCTTACAGACGTGTGAAATATACGTGAGAGAACATTGAATTAAATTCAAATAGTCGAGGGCATTTACGTGCCAGTAACTCCCTGCCTTCAACCCAAAACACCAATATGAGGTCCAACGTCATTTAGTGTCGTACGCATCGTTGAATCGAATCGCTAGACTCGTGGTTTGTTTAATTTGCGAAGTGGGGAGAGTGGAGGGGAAATTCGTTCAACTGTATCCATGATAACAGTATGCGTTCACATCACTCAAGTCCTTTACTCCGAATGAAATACTCAAGGGGGATAAAAAAGCTTGTACGTCGGGCTTTTATTACGCGAAAGAAAGAATATCCAAGGCTGCTCGTCCTTAACTCATATTTTTATTTTCCTTTTTTATTCACATCGTAGATGATGATAAAACCTTCAAAGACGGGGAAAATATAAAGAGACCATTTTTTTTTATCGCTCGGGGATATGATTTAGAATTTTTTAGAAGGGAAAGTGAACTTTTTATAAAGTCAATTGTTTTATCAATCGCCGATACGTTTATTCGCGTTTTTTTATGAATCATTATTTATAATAACGAAAAGGCAATGCGAGAAAAAATTTTAAAAACATATAACTTTCAACTCAAAATGCAATTTTTATTTCTCCCAATAGTATCCTATCCATACATGTATGAAATCCTCATGAATATATACACGATCTTAAAAATTGAAAGTGTCGAGAGGTACTATAGCGGTAAAAGAGGAAAGAGAGATCATGAATCGTTGCTAAAGTCGAAGATTGGTGGTCAGTCGATTGTCTTCGGACGTGTCATTATCTGAGCCTCATGAATTTTCTACCAATGACGTCCCCAGGCTGGTCCACCAGCGACGATGCTTCCAGATGGTCCCTGAACAACAGCAGGAAGAGCTGCAGGTCCAGCGATGGCAGCAGCTCCAGCATAGGGTCCAGCGAGAGAAACACCGTGTCCAGCTGCGAACATATTGAAAAATCACATAAACCTTTAAAAAAATATCAAAAGGGAATCAATTGGCAGATGGCAAGGAAACCCTTCATACCCCATCCAGCGGGTCCAGCCCATCCAGCCCCATGTCCAGCCCATCCAGATGCATATCCAGCCCATCCCAATCCAGGTTCAGAGATAGCAGTCCCTCCGACGACGCTTCCAGACACGAGAGATGGTGCAGCAACGGACCCAGTGACAACAGCCCCTCCGTCAACGGCACCTGACACCCTGACTGGTCCTGCAACGGACCCAGACAGAGAGGCAGGCCCAATCGCTGGTCCAGCAAGAGCAGATGGACCCAATACAGGCCCTCCAAGAGCAACTCCACCCCAGTGACCGGATGGTGCAGCCATAGCCACCGCCAAACTCATCAGAACAATAGCAATTTGCCTGAACATTTTTACTGAAGCCTTTACCGAAGTAATGAACGACTTGTTATGGCTAGCTGAGACACCACGATGATGTCTCAAGCCTGGGTTACACCAGCTTTTATACAAAATCTCATTGTCACCTACCAATGCTGTTATCCCTGCTTTTACCCCAATCTAAGGTGGGGCAGGATTCTCTCTCTCTCTTTCTCTTTTCTTAACGCTCGTGGGGTGCTTATCAGCGCTATTCATTCCTCAGCATTGCGTTACCAGCAGTTTGTTAAATGTAAACGCCTATAAACGTCACAATGGCATGGTATCCGCCCTGTCTGGAGTGTACGACATAGCGGAGAGGTCAGCTTGGTCATTTTAATTCGCATTCTGTGACGAACCGCAGGTACTTCTCATTGGTTGAGTAGGCGATAAGTGGTGGACAGCATCCGCTTGTGGTCTATCATTTCGGTGTAATCGGTGGTGACGTACAACTGCATTGCAGGTTTTCAGCGGAACGTTCGGAAGGATTGGATTTACATCTGTAGAGATGACGCATGTACCTGAATTTTAGGATTGATCGGAGAAAAATTGGATTGATAATTTGTTTGAATAATTTTTTTTTAATGGGGTAGGCAATCACCACCCCGAATTGAGGGGAGAAATTTCTGATTATCCTGTCTTATGACCTGATAATCCTGATGACAATGCAAGGCCACTTGCTGGTACTCATCCTACGACCTTCTTCTCAATGCATACACGATATTAATAAGATCCTGCGGAAGGCAGGGAGCCTGCGAAAGTGCGTGGGTATGTCGCACTCATATTTATAATTCATTGGAAGGCGTTGTGCATCCGCTTAGATCAAGTATTCAGCATTGCCGCAGCCTTGCCCACGTCTGCGACAAGATTGAGAGCGCAATCCATTGTATTCCACTGGGAGTAACATTGGAGGGCAGTGGGATCGTTACGGATCACTAGGTGCCAGCGACAGTTATCATTAAATCAATCAGCGAATAGAAAAAAAAAACAGCGCGAGTAAACCGTTACGATGAAATTGTGGCAGAATTACAGAAATCCAATTGCCATGGGTAATTAATGATTCTGAGTGTTGACGGATAAAAATTCAATGAGCAAATTTAATCTACTGAATTATTCATTATGGGTGATTAACAGATTATAACCCAGTAAACAGCCATTAAGTTCGAGCTCAATTGGTTAAAATCTCTTTGTCAGCTAGAGTGGGACGGTAATTAGAGATGGATATAGATGTGAGAAGTGTTTTGGGGGGAATATTGTTGGGCTGAATGTTATCGTATTGGTTCAATGATCGTTACGGCATTTGGGGGGTTAATGCCCCTCTGGGGTGATTTCAACTTTCCATTAATATCGACAAACTCAGTTGTAGAGATCAACGAAGTTGTTTGTATTTACACAATAATTTTCGGGGGTAAATTGTTGGGTTTTATCTCCACCCTGTAACGGGATTTTTTTTTTCGTTTCTTTCTTTTATCGAATATTCGGAGATAAAACCAGTCGTCGGGACACAGTCGCCATTATTTTTTGGTGGAATTATTATCGGCAGAAATTTATATACCGCAAACTCCCATCGATTATCCCCTGGGATGTGCTGTTACGCTGCTCATAATGGAATCGTGATTATTACTCGAATAAAAAATCACGAGTTTTATTTCACTGTGAGGGATCGATCCCAGCTGGATTGCACATGTAGACCATAATGTAATGCCGGTAGCCGACGACGAGTACTCCCTGGCAAATGATATTTAACACGATCGCTTAATTGGCAGATTATCGCGTTACGCGCACTCGATTAAAGGGAGATAGGGTCATTAAAAGAGGACGCTTTCGGGGAATAATGGCCATCCCCTTCTCTCGGATGCCTTCGGTAATTACTGCTGAAGTGGAGGAACTTGGAAACAGACGTTTCAATTTTTATATGCAGAAAAATGCTGTAATATTACGTGAAGATTTACGTAATTGGGAGACAAATTTATTTCAATCGGTTTTACGTAATCCCGCAAATATTCCTGACAAAATGCTCAATGTTAAATGATTTTCCTGAATTTTCAGGGGGAAGTTTCATGAAATTTATAGCGGTGGAATTTCATTCATGAATTTATTTAGTTAACAGAAGTGGAGAGAATTGTTTATAATTCGTGATATATTTAATAGTAGTTTTAGAATGGATTCAACGATGTATCTGACACAATTGTCACCTACTCACATTCATATGGCGGCATTGTGCAATTGTGGGGTCATACCCGATCGGCATTTCTCCTGTCTCTTATATTTTAATCTCGCTCAACTTTTTCCTCTCTACTATCGTTTTACCCTTTTTATGTCGACGACATTGTTCACCTCCCACCGGTTTTCCTCCGAAGTTCACCGACCCACGTGGTTTTCAATGTATAAAAGCTCTTCACGAATCGACTCGGCAATCTTATACCCGGATCCCATCGGGGTGCCACGACATCCCAATGTGGAAGACAAAAAGAAAAATAGAAATTTTCTCTTCGGGGTGGATTTTTCTTCTCCCGTACGAGTTCCAAACAAACCCAACCATCTGTCCGAGGGGGTGGAGAATTAATTTTCTTTTCCATGGGAGAATAGACGAAAAGTGAACAACCAGCAAGTCGTAAGTCGAGGTCAATTTAATTTCAAGAAATATTTACAGAAATTCAAATGCTCAATCAATTGATGGTTTAATCAAGGAATTGCATTTCAAAAATTGATTAAATTCATTAAATCGAAAATCAACTTGACTGTAATAACTTTTCAATATCCAGTTGAAAATTGCATATCAACTGGAGCAAAATGAAAAATAAACGATGCGGTAACCGAATAGTCATGCAGACCGGTCTGATTGTGCTGTGGTAATTTACCTCATTGCACCGTAATTTTCGTTGAATCCAGGATTTTCTTTCTTTTTTTCATTTCTCGATGCCGATGAATAGAGAGGGCGCATCAATTATCGACAGTTATTGGTCCAGTACATTCGCATTGTGCGCCGATCCATCCTAATGCGTGGAAAATCGTGTTCCTGAGGGATGAGAAATTGAGGAAAGGGTAGGGCTTTTTCCGGTTTCCGTTTAGGCGATTTACCAGGGGCTCGATGGGTGCATTTGAGTGATCGATAATTCAATCAACCTTGCTCGATCGCTGATCGAGGTGGTGGTGGTGGCAAACCGTAGGATAATGGCATCCACCCGTGTCCACCTCATCGAGTAACCACACCTTTCATCGACCATTCGTAATGATCTTGGTAATCAAATGTAATCAGATAATGCGGGGTACAGGGGATGTGGGGTTTAAAGTATTTGCGTTGGGATTCAGATCGCGGAATTCCAGGGTTATCCATGAACAATGCACGTGTTACCTCGACCTCAGGGATCAATCCGGTAGCAGTGGTAAGGAGGCAGGAGAATGTTTGCGTCGTGATTTACGGCTGTTATTGTCTGCGGTTGTCAGATTATATTTTGAGGTTTTTATTCCCTCGACATTTCGCGGGTGGCATTTGTTGTCGCTGTCCATTGCATATGGATTATCAATTTTTTTTTTCTAACGATCGATGGAGTATGAAATTCCGGGATCTTGCGAGGAATTTAAAGTGACTGCAATTATTCCCTCGAGGGGTTTGGTAAATAAGTGTAATTACCGAGTACTAAATGTCTGGGGAAACTCGGGATTTATCACTGCAGTTCACCGCTTCAAATGTCAGATTATCATTTTTAATTAGGGTTTGAATGAATGAGAATTAAACACTCAGTGGGATCTAGAAGGAACCCCCGTGACCTTTTTATTCTAAACTCCTTTTTATCGCAGTGGAAAATCATTACAACAATTGAAGGTTTTTGCCGCGTAATTAAGTCTCACCGGAATTCAATCGTGATTATCCTCAGTTTTATTATAAAAAATTCTTCAAAAATAAGTACGTAATCCTTCCAAAAAAAAATTCAGAGACGAAAGTATCATAGCTTGCAGTCTGAGAACCCCGAGATTTTCATGTGCAACAGACGTGCGAATCTCGGAATACCCAGTATCAAACACCCGAGAGACCGAGTGCATTGTACGACCTCGATACACACCATGAGGTGATAACGTACCATCACTGTTTGAATATTTGCTTATCCCATACGAGATCGCACCCCAGTGCCGTCTCTATCATTCAATCAATAACCAGCTGTAACAACTGTCCCCACGCAATATTCCGAATGACACCCGTTTGATTTCCGCTTCACTCTCGCCGATTTTGTGTGTACCAATGGGCGGTTTGAATCACAAAGGCAGAGATGACCTTTCCGTACTAGAATTGGTGAGGTATCTCGATTTTGTGTGCATAAACTCTCACAATGTTTCAAGCCAATGCTCCAGCGTGAGTCGAGTAAAACGTATGTTTCAGAGTGGATGAGGTGATGAAACAAGGGAGATTACGTAGCCAGTGGTTTGTGTTACGTATGTATTTGTGTTAATGGAACTTCATGATCCCCTCAACACTTGGATATGCAATGGTGCGAAGGATCTCAATGATTTTCCCATGGAACATACTGGTTAAATGATGCTGGGTATTCATGTGAATAGAATTCAGATGCGAAGAATTTATTCTTCGTGGCAAACTATCCGCCAATATCTGTCGGACGATTGACTTATCGCTCTGGGTGAGCCACATTAGTTTTAACGTTTGTTTGTACTCGTATGGAACTAGACGACCTTACCCTTTAACTCTGCACACTCAGTAATACGATATTACGGAGGAGAAAGCCATTTTCATTCACACGATTGGAACTTGATGCTAAAACCCTGCGCTTCATCTCATCTCATCAATCGGGTATTGCTGGAACGATACCACTCCATCATCTCACTGTTTGTCAGGGGTTTTTCAATATTTGGGGTGGTTATCCCACGGGAATATTTTATTCGAGAGGGATTAATGAAGGATACGTCATTTTAACCGATTTCGGTCAATTATTTGAAAGGATTTCAAAAATTGGACGGGAAATTTCAATTAACAAATTTTAATACGGTGAGAGGACTATTGATTTCACTGGAATATTTGAAAGCTGTTATAGAATCGCTGGTGCAGTTTGTTTTCAATTAGCCATGTTAAAGATAACCTACGCAGAACAGCATCCCCCTTCCCCTGACGGAACTAATGAACCCGTCGATGATTTGCGAGCCATCGAGGTAATGATTACCTGTCCGATGACTCAGTACTGTTGTAATTAAGTCAGACAATGGCCGACTGATCGTTGAAATTTCCGGTGTCTCATTAGAGATGGAGGATATTGTAAAATAAATAGTCATTGTTCAACTTTGAATAGACAAAATAATGAGTTTATTTTTCGCGTACAGACTCGACTTGTTATGTACATTAAATCGACGAGAGTATGATCGACCTGATCACTCCACGTAGCGTAGATTGTGTAAAAAAGAAAATTGATAATTGCATCGAATTTTATGTCAATGGATCTTCAAATCCGGAATTATCTGATATTCTGGCAGTGCTGAGTCGCTGAGTTATGAATTACATTTATTAACGTCGATTAATTACCAATGATGACCATGACCGTATCCTGTATGGATTCCAGCGCCATGGCCAGTTCCATGGGCAGTGATTTTGCCGGAGGGTCCAGCGATGACGACGTCACCGGCTTGGGGTCCAGATACAGCAGCAGCACCTGCATGAGGTCCTGAGACCACAGCTCCATGTGTGTGTGGTCCCGAGAGAACAGCCCCATGAGCGTGTGGTCCAGCTAGAACAGCTCCATGAGCATGTGGTCCAGCGAGAACAGCTCCATGAGCCTCATGACCAGCATAAACAGCGCCATGAGCCGCAGGTCCAACAACAACAGCCCCATGGGCCCCATGACCACCGTAACCATATCCTGCATAAAATCAACCATGAGATTGCTTAACCCGAAGCGAGAATGAGGTAAGCAATGACATAGTAAACATAGTAAACATTGCAATTTTCAGTCGCTCACCTCCAACGAGTCCCTTAGCGTATCCCCCATAACCGTGTCCATACCCGGCATGCCCATACCCATCATATCCTCCATAGCCTCCATCGTAAGATCCATCAAGAGGTCCGCCAAAGTGCTCGACATGTGCTGGACCAGCGATGGAAGCTGTGACAGTGGCAGGTCCAGCAACAGCTCCCGACACATGAGCTGGACCAGCAACAGATCCAGCAAGATGTGACGGGCCAATGACTGGCCCAGCTAATGACGAAGCACCGATATGTGGACCGACAACACTGGCTGGGCCCAAAACAGGACCAGCGAGTGCTACACCATGACCATCGTACTGATGACCACCATAACCATGACCAGCGTAACCATGATCAGCGTAAATTCCCGCGTAGGAGAGGCCGTGTCCATATCCATGATTGAGAACACCGCGCCTGCCACGTGGACCAGCAGCGACAACCCCAAATATAGCCAATGCAATGATCTACGAATGCACAACAGCTTCAGACAATAACGTACAATTTTTGATGATTCACGTCACTGTCTCACTGGTACTTACAAATGCCTTCATCTCGCCGACAGTCAGTCACAGAGTGCAGCTTAGACGCTAACGTCTTGGCTTATATAGCCAAGAACCTCTAGGATGTTGACCGCGCCCGCTTGATCCCTTCAAATCATATCCTCTGATGGGAGACTCACCCATTTCGCAAGAAGGTCACTGACGTCATGCCTCAACGGGTGCACAGTACCCAGGACCACGGGTGTTTTGTCGCTGGCTGACAGATAAATACTAAAGTGCTACTGATTTTACCATTAAATTGTTATGGAATCGTGTGGATATGGCATAATCAGTCAACAAGTCGGTATGAAGGGAACTGGGTCACTGTGGGCTTATTCCGCTTCGAGGGAGGATAATTTCATCAATCGAATGATTATCATTTTTTTTTTTCATCTCCTCTCTACCTTTTCTTTGGCATTCCATCTTTCGAGTTATTGTACTTGCCGGTTTATTTTATCGAAGGCTCCAAGTAGGCGGCTAATAATAATCCGTAGCAAATTATAATGGTGCATCAATGGTTCACACGCTTCTCAAGGTGGACAGGGGCCTTCTCGTTGGTGGTGGATTTTTTTTTTTCTCTTTATTTTCTAGAGGAAGTTACAGAAAAATTGTGAAAGAAGGTGAGCGTGGGCTTTTGCCATGGTGAAGCTGTTTTCTTCTCTGCAATTAGCCCTGCCAGGTCGTAACACGACGCGATACTCGAACTCTCGAACTCGACCTTTAAGATGCCGAGTTGCGAAAATATCTGAATGTCGCGGATTGCTCGGTTGATCTAGTTTTATTTGATGGTGTTTGTGGGATGCATCGTGATAAATATCCGTGTGCGCCAGGTGAGTTGAGACGCATAATTCTGATAATTGATGGGTCCTCTTATGGGGTCTCTAATCCGTTGCTGGGGAATAACAAGAGACGAGATATAGGCTCGACCTATCGAACGTGATTCGTGGGTACTGGGAGACTGACATTTCCAGTTGTCTGCAACTGTCGTAATTTACTGGGGCAAGCGAGCATGGGGAGTCCGTTGAACCATTTTTCATATTTTTTTTTTTTCACATGTCGCATCGGTTATCGATATATAATAATATTTTAATATTCTACCCCAGTCCCACCCGCCTGGGGATGCACTGTCGATTTTTTTTTCAGTGAGACCGCAGTATTACATACGATTCAATTCTCAATTGATTGAAAATGCTGTTGGTGTTCCAGAACTTTACTAATCAGTGAGATTCCAACTTGACAAGATTACATTTAACATTTTCGTAAATGAAAAATCCGTTGTTTGTCGCTAGTTGCGACGATTCGTACACTTTGTACACTCACGGATGAGAGGATATTACGAAAACTTGTAGTAGGTACTCTCTCATCCATTAACACTCCACAACAGGATTTAATCCTTAATCCGCTCTTCTTCCAACTTTGTTGACGAATTCAGTGATGGCTAGAATTATCGACTGTTGCTACTTCGGTTGTTACTCATCTCTTAATGCCGAAATTTCAGATAATTCATAAAGCGTGACAGGTGAATATTGTTATTCACCCTCGAACACAGTGTTCATAATTATATTTCGGTCAATTTTCACGGACGGTGGAGTCGACAACAGTATCTAGTAATTCTTACAATCAAATTATCGATAACCGCGTACAACTTTTGCGCTTTACGAGTTTGATTGCACACTCTGGTGCTAGAGATTTTCGAGGTGGTAGTCGTCCTAACTTTGTTGAGAAATTTATAGCGAATTCGGTTGAAGTGCGGTTGAACGAAGTACATCTGGAACGATTTTATAGTTATGAAAACGCATGAGAAAAACTTGGGATTATTGCCTTCAACTTCACTTGAAACGTTTTGTCACTCAAGTAAATGAGTCCCAAAAATATCCCACTAGAATAAGTTGTACAGTAAAATTCCGTTATAGTCGCATCTCCCTCAGTTCCGGCGTTGAATTAAATTCCGAGTTGAATCAACACGAAATGTACTATTCGAATACAGACAGTTCTCCATGCGTGCAATTGGTTGTAAAAAAATTTGAGAATAACGGAGACGTATCTACAGCATTACAAACTCCCGCGAGATAATTTTTAATTCAGATTTATGATATCTGATAGTCCCATGCGCTTTGGAGTTGGGTCTATGGTTACGACGTCGATAAATACCGGAAGTCATGTGTTTGTACCTTGCCCCGAGCAGGGTGGCAATTATCTACGGATTCTCGAGTAGGTCGTCGATTTCATCCTCGACGTTGGAAGGCTGAAATTACGGCAGCCCATTACTTGTCTGACGGTTGGTTAATATACGAAAATTCATTAGAGGCAGAAATCGGTAATCTAATCCCCCGGGTACTCCAAAGTAGCTGAAAATTTGGGTATCGTTTATCGAAGATGATATCAACAGTAAGTTTTGGACTTCGATGAGTGGCGAGATGATGATGATGAAGTCTTGTCCTCTGCCTTCTTACCTTCAATTCGATATGAAATGCGGATTGTGCGATTTGGAAGGATCCAATGAATGCGTCATGTTGATTGAGTTTTAAATACTGATGCTTTATTTTATATAAAGTATTGTATAAATGTATAAACGCTATAAATACGTGGTATCTATCTATGGTGGTGGTGGGGTGCTAGTCGTGATCGCATAGAAAGGGTATGACGAGGGCGGGCGGGGTCGAGTGCCGGCGGCGGTGCCCCATCTATGTACATTGTTTAACTTCACGGGGAACGGCTTGACCTACCACAACCTACCGATCTCCTTCAAATTGACATTGTATATGTGCATAATATACGATTGTACACATTGATTGAATGGTTGTGAGATATGCGCTCGTGTGTATATGCATAATATATGTGAAAATTAAAGAAGTTGTAGGTATAGTATATATAAAAAAGAAGAAGACATGGACGAGTATGTAATAAAAAATATGTATGCTTGGGTGCGGCAGTGAGTATAACAACTGGTGGATAACATAACGCTCAATGAAGAGCGCCAGTTGTCCATCAAGGGATAGTATATGCGAGTGAGATTGTCGGCCTTAAGATGTTACAAGTTGGTAATATAAAAATTGAAAAAATTCATTGATGATTGATGTTGAGGTGCTAAATTGGTGGCCAAACAGATGGATGTTCGATAAAACAGAACAAATCCCAGGTTGGTCCCGATTCGTTAAAGCGTCAAAGCTTCGTCCACATTTTGTGCCTCTCTCTCTGCCCATCCATGACTGATGTTATTTGGCTAAATTTGTTGATGTTGCGCGATGAACTACGTGGATCGGCATTAACCTTTGGGGCCTGACTGTGACTCACTACATGACTTGACTGTCCAACTTGACTACTCCTTGATTACCATGGCTCCGTCGATTGGTATTGAAGCTTTGGGAAGAAGACGTACGCGCTTTGAGGATACTGTTTTTATTTGACCGGGTTAGGTCGTGGTAAGTTTGCCGCCGTCGCCGAACCGAGATCGCTGGGGTGTGACTGTTTAGTAGTGTTTGCCGTAGCCTCCGGGGATGATGGCTCCGTGGGAGCCGAGTCCAGCGTGGATGGCACCAGATGGTCCATTGATCACAGCAACACCGGCATCGTGTCCACCGATTCCACCAGCAATTCCTGGACCACCACCGATCACAGCGATGGCACCAGCGCCACCGAGACCTGCACGTTCAAGCAATTCATTTCTTATGAGATGTGATTGTGCAATGTGCTTAGTGATTATTATAATATCATCGATAGTGCTGAGTGTATACAGCAGTGCTCAGTCTCAATCGCACCCTCTTAAAAAATTACTATTATCAATATTTTTTTTTTTATTATACTGACCAGCGCCTCCACCTGGAGCAGCAGCAGCAGCAACGCCGGAGCTACCGTCGTCACCGTTGATTCCACCGGATCCGGCGTAGAAAGCAACACCACCGTAGCTTGGTCCAACGAGGTTAGCGGTAGCCTGGGATGGTCCAACGAGGGTAGCGGTTCCCTGGGATGGTCCAACGAGGGTGGATGGTCCAGCAGCTGGTCCAACAAGGCTGGATGGTCCGGTACGGGGTCCACCGATGGATTTGGCTCCCTCCTGTGGTCCTACGAGGTCTGATGGTCCGCTCTGGGGTCCAACGTTGGCCTTTGGTCCCTCAGCTGGTCCAATGTCTGATCTTCCTCCAATAACTCCACCAGATACGATTTGCTGTACTCCTGCGGCACCAGCGGCAGCGGCAGCACCAGCGGCGTAGCTAGCGCCAAGACCACCTGAACCCAAGCTGGATGCACCACCCTGGAGGGAGTTAGCTGTGCCAGCTCCAGCAGCGAGACCGCCGCTGAATCCAGCACCACCGTGTCCTCCACCGACACCGACAGCGAGTCCTCCGTGACCTCCGTAACCTCCGTAGCCACCGTATCCTCCGTGGGCGAGTCCAGCGCGAGCCGTCGCCACAGCCAAGCAAGCGAACACAATCTGAAATAAATCGTTATCATCATCTCAACAGCTCCACCAAATCACCATGTTTCCGCGTTGATGGCCTAATTACGCCGGGAACTTTGAGACTAAATCCATAAAATCAACTGCAGGAAGCCGCAGGACTAGACGCAACGCTTTTATTATGCCTCGGAATACTCGATTACAGGTTTGCCTTCGTGGAAACGCTCACTCTCAGGAAGCCTGCCTCCAAGTTCCTTTCACTTTCAGGTCTACCGGTGATTCTAGTCGTGCAAATATACCCCCTGCCCTCTCTCCCGGAATTGTATCCGGTTTTTGCGATTAATGCATCTCAGACGATTTCCGATCGACTTGCAATGGTTTGGTGGGTAATGACAGGGTGTTTGATCACTTGAATTGCACGTTGAAAAATTTAATTAGCGAGTATGTACGTTTGGAAAAGCGTTTGCTAGATGGAATGTTATATTCAACCGGGAAAGCCGCGTTTACAGCGTTTCTCGCTTCGACCGGCCATGCGGAATTGCCGAGTGAGGTTGTTATGTCATAAAAGGGGGTAACGAGCGTTTCACATAGTGCTAGAAGTGAAAATTTACAAAACACCAAGGCAAGATTCGATGCTGTAACCTTTCATAATTGGAGTGATAGTCGGGCCAATTCGCCTTTTTCCTATACTGCAAAATAGTTCAAACTGCGTCGTTGACCAGTAACTCTAACCATATTAGGACAACTATTTTCTCCCGGTTTGTTAACTTTTCAGTTTAGTCGCAATGTGCGTTTCACTGAAACAACGTCCGATAGCGTAATCACGAGAACCGATAATTGATCGATTTTCCCTCAATTTCTTTCGAGCGTTTACGGAAAAATGACTTTCCCGTTTCGATGCCGATATTTTCTCGCGGTTAAAGACCCATGTCGAGTTGATTTGGAGTAAAAATTTGGCGGAATGACTCGATTGACACTGATTTATCGAGAGGAATAGACTGAATTTACCGGAAAGGTAATCCACGAGTATTCAGCGTCGTGCATTTGTATCGCGTGCTGGAGATACACCGTCACGCTTCAATGGACAAGTTGCTCCCGAGCCCAATGACCGTTTCGGTTATAAATTATGTGCATCAAGCTGAGTAGCTTTCGGAAAAGGAGCTTTCACGTTTTACCCGATACAAATATTAATTCACCGATCCCATTGGAATCGCCAACAAAATTTCACCGTCAACCAAAATTCATTAGAAAGTCGAGCTTTCGATGACGAATTTTCACGGGAATAATAAATATTCATAAATATTCAATCGTTCCAAAGATAAAAATGCATCCCGAGGACAACCGGTTGTACCTCGGGATGACTAACGGATTCGCACATCGCGATTGTGCATCGACAACCGGTTTTACGGTACTCGTAGTATTTATTCGCGTGGGACGTTAATCGTGACTTTTATGAATGAGAGGAGATGAGTGATATTGTAATATTGAGGGATAAATTTTGAGTATGAATTATTGAAAATGAAAACTTCGTGATTGATGTGAGTGAAATATTTTTGAAATATTTTGAATTGAATATAAAATTGTTGGATTGCGATTGAATATTCTGAGAGAATAGTTTCAATCGATGAGCAGTGGTTTATGGGAATCCCACAGAACGAAATAACCAACCCCGTAATACTCACAAAGGCCTTCATGGTTGTTGTGTGTATGGTGGGCTGGTAGTCCGGTGAATGACTGACTTGGGCTGGGTCCGCGGTCCTTATATACGCCTAAGTCTACTCTGGCCACGCTCCACAATCACCATCCTTTCGAAAGCCAACCGTCCCCTCCTCACCCTCCTCCTCACCCATTGGAAAAACTATAATCCTCCAGTTAGCCTGATGTACTTTGGTGAGTTGAGGGGGATATGAAGAGGGAGGCGCAGGGTTAGTGCAGGCCGTGGGGTATCACACAGTAAATGTGTAACGTCTCAAATACGACGGCTAAAAGTTATATTTATCTCCCTTCTCTCTTTCTCACACTTGGAAAATTTTAATTTTCTCACTTTTGCTGGCTCGCTTACCCTAGGCATGAGAGAGATCGATCATATCGCTGATTCAGAAGCCCAACCGTACCAAGTGCACCAGGCACCGGTTGAAATGGTCATCGTGGGTTAACTTTAGGCTATCGCTAAATCAGGCATCACCATTTTTCATGTCTTGTAAATCCTCTTGTGGTCAGTTGAAATAAAATTTACAACGATATCATTTTTTGCGTGAAAAAAATTTTTGCGCTCGTGTAATGGACGGGGTTTACCCATTGAGGGTTGGGAAAATTTTAGTCATGTGTTTGCTGATGAAAAACTTCACCTTTGATATTTGTGTGAGGAAATTTACTAGGCAATTGTCCCTGAAATTCCAATTTTTTTCTCGCTGCGTCGATCAGTCGTTTTTTTAGAGCCTGGAATTACCCATGGAATTCGATAATTGACGATAAAATACGAAGGACTCGAAATTTCACGTCAACGAGAGGAAAGAATTTGACTGACCGCTTCCGACTAATTTTTAGAATCAATTCGAATAAAAATTCAAATTTTTCACTCTCAACTTCACTTTATACATAACATAATAATTTCCCCTTTCACATATTTTTCAATGGCGCTTTACAGCTTCTAAGAAAATTCATGGAAAATTCAGATCAAAGGATATTATTCACCATGAAAATTATTTAAATCTCTATTTTTCGAGGAATAGACTTGACGACTTCAAAGTAAAACTCCCCAATCCATAGATTCTTGGAAGAGCTTTTCACATTTTCGGCGAATTGAATTTTCCTAGAGCGATGGATTTCAAAACTCATGGGATCCATTCACGCAATCCATGAGCCGATTTTTCAATAAAAAAGAAACTAAAAATCGAAAGGATGGAGCTTTCATTCAAAAATCCATTCACCAATATCCCTGAAGCATGAGAAGATGGTATTGAAGTTAAGAGATTTTTCCGAGAAATTTCGTGGAATGTTGATAGCAATGGAGTAGTCTGCGGATAGACGTCCAGTGTCATCCAGATATTCGGCTTTATCGGTGGTGAAATTTATTGGCCCTCGAGACCGGAAGTTTATAACGGGTGTAAGAGGGTTAACCGTTCCCCCGTACTTCCGAAATAACCGGGTCTTCTGGAAGCGACTTAAATTGACCGAATGATAGGTGAAATAAAAGAGAATTGATTACGTAGTGCATTATGAGCACCAACTGGTGGATATTCTCATAATTCATTGACGTGGCATTAGTGCACGAAGGCTTTGACCCCAATTAACCCCCCGGATAATCCTTTCATACCTCCAACAATTCGAAACAATCGCCTTCCCATCGATTTTTTTCTCCCATTATCTTTTCATTAATTTTCTCGTCTTATTTCTCCAGAAGGGATAAGAACCATCGTCCTTCATCTCAGCGACATTCTGATCATCAAAACCTGGATGTGAAATTTTTCATTGGAGTGTGATAGCACCACGACAGCACATACCATTGATCAAAAACTTGACAATGTTCCAGGAACGGTGGAATGGATTCTCGTGGAATTTAGGAATAGATTGCTCGGCTGTCAGAAACTAGCGAGCTATTATCCTTCAACCTATTAATTTCACCAGCCGATAGCCAGAGGGCCGATTCCCACACCAACAGTGGCAATTTGAATCTACTCATGGATAAATCGTATGATTTTTTTTTCATCTCACTTTTTTCCCCTCTTTGCTCGGTCTTTTAAATTATGTTTAGGTTGACGAGAGAGACAGACATGGCGTATCATTGATGTGCCATGAACGATATTAAAATTTGCATGTTTCTAACGATTTTTCTTGCCTGAAAATGATGTAATGGGACTGGAACTGCATGCAACGGCAGCGTGACTTCGACAATGTATTATTATTTTTTAAATTCTCCTGTCAAGCTGAAATTTTTCAGCTTTTTGTGAAAGTTGTCAAACCTCAGTGCGCTTTTTTTAGCCGCCAAGTTGCTCATTTTTTTTCGATAATTTTTTGAAAACAATCTTGTCGTAGAAAGTGAAAGCCATTATTCGGTATCTCGATGGGGAAAAAAATCAATCGTCCAATCGCGCTCCTTCAACTCGATATCCCGGGTGTTTGAGTAACTAGTGCGAATCTTTTTCACCCAGCCCTGACCGGTTTTGAATATATAAACTAACGTGATCGAGACGCTCAATCCACCATTCGCCTTCACCCTGTCGTAGCGTTTACAACGTTTTATCTCATATCGTTAATTGTGGGGAATAAATTTGAAGGACTGGAGAGATTAAAATTAGTCAATCTCTATCAGAAATTTTCATATCTACTCCAATTTGTGAGATTTGTTGTTGTTTTTTTCAAAAAGAGAAATCGCCACTGCGGGAAAATTTATTCAAGCGTCTTATCACTTTCTATTGCAAAAGTAGTTATTATCACTCGGTCATCAATCCTTTTTCATTTACTCGATTAAGCTTGTCCCGCATAATTTCATTAATTTTCCCTTTGTATGTCATTGGAACAGGTATTTTATAATTGCCCCAACTCATTCAGGTGTTTTGTCCTTTTTTTATTCATTCTCCAACAATTTTTACCCGACAAGGTGTTGATGAAATCGCGAGATAAAAACGTACATTCGCTAAAATGCCACCAAGAGAGTAATATTGAGAGTCTAATGCAGAAGTACACGATATAGAGAATTGCACAGATAGACAGTCTCTTGTGCGTAGGCGGAGCCCCGAGGGAAAGCTGATTTCCGATACCTGAAATTTTTTCATGACCCCGTAAATTTTCAAGGGTCGACTAGGAAGTCTTTATTACAGATGTTTCTCGTATTTTTATACGAGATTATTTATCCGTGGGCATTCGTTTTATTCGATGCACAAGTAATAGAGTTAATTCTCTGATTTTTGGAATGTTCGGTGAAAGGCACCTCATATGTGCGAAATTTTCACTCAATTTTTCCATTGCAATTAGGATAAATTTCAAAGTTCAGGGAAAAGTCGACAGTTGAGTAATTTACCACAGAGGGCAATATATTTTATGAAGAAAATAAATAAAATGAATGATGACTAATTTCTAGTCATTAATCATATTAAAAATGTGCATGACAAATTTTCGGATTTCAGGCAGATGTTTTTGCCAGTCGGCATATTTCATATTCACCGCCTATAATTACTTATAATAATCATCGAGACGAGATATTAATTTCAAATGCTAAGCAAATATATGTTCAGCATAAAGTTGAACGGATATAAGAGTAAAATGAGTCGAGTTGCTCTCCGCGATATTTATCCATTGAAAACTGGTTCGTTCTTCTCCCTCTTAGAAGTGTCAAGTAAAAAAAACAAAACTGGGAATTTTTTACAATTAAAAGTTTATCGTACGGTAATTAATTTAAATTATTAATTACCTCAATCAATATTCATAAATACATGATTAATTTTACACGCAAGAAAATGGAATTGAATGCAAATTTTAATTCGCAGATTTTCGGCTTTTAATTGTCTCGTGTATATTCACTTTTACTTGAAATAATATTTTTTCTTCGTATGTTCCCACGACTCAGTTTCGACTATCGAAGAATGGAATTGATTTCCAGTGAGAGTTCATATCAGTGAGAATCTTCTGACCTTTATCATGTGCCGGAGAAGTTCGCAGAATATCTAACAGATAAAAACCGCAACGAGAAAAAATCTGTTAATTCTGGGAAATGTTTTATTTTATTTATAAAGATTTGTATTTCATACAGAAAATAAAAATTCATTTGCTCAAATAAATAATTGTTAATTGACCGTTGCTAAAAATCCGAAGTATTATTTTCCAAAAATAATTGCTCTTGAATTGTCAACGGCATTTCCTGAGAACACCAATTCCGCTGACTTTGAAAAGCAAAAACAATTAGAGAAAAAGTAAATGCTACAAATGCTAATAAGGCATTGAACTGAAACTTTCCCCGTTACGTGACAAAATTACTATGCGAATTACACCGTGGATCTCGGCAATTAATGCGTGACAATTTTCAAGATTGAAACTGTACCATCTGATTTATGAATTTCAGATTGACATTTGAAATGACAGGTGAGTGTACAATGACGGAAGTACACGTAAAGTGGGGAATACAGGAAGCAAATGTCCGAGGTGGACGCAAAGTCCTACATAAATTCAGTGGATGCGTCCAGCATGTAGTCAGACAACTCTTTACACCGTGCAAGAGACTCCGTGTCTTCCGTTTTTACGATGAGACTGCACTTGGTCAAGGCTACCATCTTCCTGGCTTGTTATCCTTGAAAATTGTCACTTTCACTTATTATTCATCACCACCGCTAGATAAATAGAAAATATCCATTGATTACCATTTTATTCATCGATATTGAAACTTTCCAATGTAATTATACTCCACGTACGATTAAAATTCCAGAGATTTTTTCCAAATTCATTGCAACCTCACGCTAACACCAACAGAATTTAATCCTTCATTTTTTATAATTGTACAATTGTTTAATTAAAATTGAAGATAATAATTGTATTACTTTTGAATTCTTTGTTTTATTTCTCACCAGTGAAATCCTCAGGCAGAATAATTTTTGCTCGTAAAAATTCCCTGAAGACTGAGAAAATCCAGTTAAAAGGACACCCATTCAAATGCATAAAACTAGCGCCTGAAATAATGTAAAATGGGTTTTATTTTTTCAGGATCATTAATCACTATGTAAATACGAAATTAATACTCATTTTAATGTACTGACAATAAATTGTTCTTTCGATAGTTTATTTAATTTTTCACAACTA